GGAGCAGACACTGCTGCTGCAGCGCAGGCACAGGAGATGCGCCTACAAATGAGCTCCCGGTCTTCTACACTTAACTAAATGGATTCTGAAATATTTTAAAGCTACTTCGGGCGAACCACGACTTTGTAAACCAAAAAAAAGGATAAATATTGAGGTTCACTCTATCGACACTAAATTCAACACTGGGGCGATAACCAACCTTTCCCAGCGCAACATTCCCTGCATCATATCACTGGCGTTGCGATGTGCGTGTTCCGGTCCGCAATAATCTGTTCGTCCGCTCCACCGCAATTGCTGGTATTCTTCGCCCGTGACGGGATTCACAACGTTCAAAAACTCGATTGATAGCGACAAATGCGCCCACGCCACTTTGTTTCGGATATCTTCTTCACGTGGATTTCTTGAATAATCCGTGTCAATGCTCTGAGTTCCAAGTACGTATCCTGAAGCATCCAGCATCAGCTCTTCCGAATCAGAATCCGAATCTGCGTATTGTGGCGGCGTCGACGGAGCACTCGCATCGATACACGTGGGTGTAGATGAGGCTCTAGATAGTGGGATTTTCTTGCTGGTTTCAATCAAAAATCGTACGAAAACTGAGCGAAAAGTCGAGATGTCTTCCGTGGGGGACATGACATCTCTAACTAGCACATAGGCGTTCGGATTCACTTGTTGCAGCACCTCTAAGCGACTCGTTTCGCCCTTTACCTTTTTAAATTCACCCAGTCGCATGTCATTTGCCCACGTCTTTTGCATGAGTTGCGCCACGTTTAAACCACGAAACGTTTTGGTAAAAACGCATTCCATGATATTTCCATGCACTCGTTGCACCATATCCCACCCAAAGACCTGCATCCTCCTCGTTCTAGCGCCATCATCCGTATCAAACGACGACGGAACCAACAGACGACTCTGGACACGCGAGATGGTGCGTCTGTTTTCCAAAATCACTTGAGTTAAGCCCAAATCGGTCAATGGATGGAAGCCAAACTCCTCCCTCGCTTCGAACTGATCCCGTTCATCCAGTCTCATCCTCAACACTGCTTCTCCTCCTAGTGACGGCTGCTGGAACTGCTGCGCCCATCTGGGTCCATCCACTTCCATTGTAGACTGTAAAATCCTAGATAAATTGATCTTCCACTCTGCTTTTTGTTGAATTTCAGCCTTGAGATATAAATTCTCAGCTCCAAGCCTTCTGGACAACTCCACCGCTTCGGAATAATCCGAAACTATTCTGGTAACTAGAGCTCCATGGTTCTGCGTGTTCTGTGTGGACTGTAAGCTCAGTTGTGCGTATTGTTGCTCCAGTCTGGCCACTGTGGCCTTCATATCGTTCAGCTCATCTCGCTGTCGCTGTCTTGCTCGACGCATACAGTCGCGGTTCTTCTGTCTTCGTCTCTCCATGGCACTGGGATTCGGTGGGTCACACTGCATTTGCTCCGACTTGACGCTCGTCCAGGTCAGCGGCGGTGATATGGGCGTGTCCATTATGGGCATCGCCATCGCTGGAGCTGCGTGGGACGCCCAGATCGCGTCGAATTGCGACGGGTTCATGTCGAACTGGAGAGTGGTCGACAGCTGGTGCTGCTGGTCCTGGTCTTCTCCGTGGATGGGGTTGTATTCTGACTGGAGACGAAATGCCGGACTGTGGGCAGGACTGGCGGATCGGATGGCATCCAAAGGCGGCGACAGACCTCGCAGTTCGCCCCACATGACGTCGTCGATGCTGTCGAGAATGGCATCGTCGTCCGGCTCCGACTGCCACGACGACACGGGGGATTCCGCCACGTCGCGCTTCATGGTTGCTAAAGTTAGGAATTACTATTCGTAACGAGCGTATTGATAGCGAAAGGGGACTATGGAAGATCGGAACGAAAGACGGAAGGAAGTGATCCGCAATGGTCGCACACGAAATATTACCGTAAGTTGCCCCGTAAGCTGTGCAAATACGTTAGAGATGGGGAATGCTTCTCGTAATCAGCGTGATAATGCAGACGAATGCAATGCAGGAGTCGCAGGACGCGTGCCCTGCTTGTTGACTGGGAATATCATAGCAGGTCCACGTGGACCTACCTTCAGTTTGTCGATGCGCAGGCGTCAGTGCTTCAAGCACACGTGATTCTTCTCGTGATGCTTTGACAGTGGCCACACCACTTGATTGATGCCGACGTCACACTTGAAGTTGCTGGAGTCGGTCGGCGCGTCTCGGATCCGGTGCCGGCGTTTCCTCCGAGTCACGAGGAAGAGGTTTCCGACTGAAAATGGACGTGAAGTCTTCGGGATCAACGCATATTGAGAGGCTATCGAGGCTCTACGTCTGGTACACTTTTGGTTGTGGTTGCTCCTAGGCCTCAATTACACGAAAGATCACTTCCAGGTGATTACGTACGTGGCTTCGGAGGCTTCTGTGGCTGGAAAACATTAGGCTGAAGCCACACGAGCCACTGATGGTGTCGAGCCTGCAAAGCGCTGTGGTTGAAGAAGCTTACATGTAGCTACTCAGCTTGTCCGAAGGTCTATCGCTTATGTAGGACGTTCACTTTTCACTTTCATTATCCAAAAGAGCGGCTTCCACTTACGACTTTCTTACGCATAAATTACGGTCACTTACGGACTCTGGTTCGAGTTCGTCGGTTCCGGATCGGAATTCGGAATCAGCTGGATGGCCGGCGCGATCGTGCCCAGCTCCCAGCGCATGAGCGTCGTCACCATGTCGGCGGCGTTGCGGTGCGCGTCGAACGGCGTGCCGTAGTTGTTCTTGCCAGCCCACCGTACCTGCACGTACTTGTCTTCTCCAGTGACGCGGTCGGACACTTGCAGCATCTCGATGGAATGCGCCAGCTCCGCCCACACCAGACGTGCCGACGGTTCGATGCCGGCACGTTCCGGCAGCAATTTCGCGCCGGAATTATCAGCCGGATTGAGACTTTGCGTGCCGATGACGAAGCCGGTCGCGCTTAGATCTGAGTCTAATTGGCGCTCGTCTTCAGTCAATAGGGACGAGTTGTTGGACGGCACGTCGCCGGTCGTCTCCATGCGGTATCGCAAGAGCGTCGTGCGGAATACGGGGGTCTCGTCAGGCGACCGGACGTCTCGGCCGAGCACGTAGGCGTTCGTGTTGACTTCTTGCAACATTTCCAGCCGCTGGACGTCGTATTTGACCATCTGAGCGCCTTTCAAGCACATTTCATTCACCCAGGCCTTTTGCATGAGCTCCGGCACGGACAATTTCTTGAACCGCTTGGTGAAGACGAACTCCATGTCGCTGCCACGGACGCGTCGTCGCAGATCCCATCCGAAGAGTTCCGAACGGTCGATCGGCCCTCCTAACACCTTGCCGGCAACCTCTTCCTCGGCGACGTCGGTGTCGCTGTTGTTGCCGGTGCGGTCGTGACTGCTATTGTCCAGCAATTGATGCTGTACACGCTTAATAGTCTTTGTATTTTGCAGGATAGTATCCTTTACGTCCCGTTCGGTCAATGGGTGGAAGCCGAACACTGACTCGGCTTCCTGTTCCGTCATAATTTCCAGTTTAAACGGGAACGGCGAGGGCGGTGCCGACGCTGAAGCCGTGAACTCGTCCAGCGCCACGGTCGTCTCCATGACTCGTCGGAGCTCCAGTTTCCAGGACGCCTGGTACTGGATGGACGCCTTGAGGTACAGGTTCTCGGCGCCTAACTGCTTAGACAGTTCGACCGCTTGGGCGTATTTCCGGTTGCTTTCGAAATTGGCGTTCGGAAACTGATCCGAAGAATCGGAACGCAGTCGAAGCGACTTGTACTGCTCTTCCAGCTCGGCTACGGCGTCACGTAGCAGCTGCAGTTGGTCTCGCTGACGCTGACGAGAGCGACGCATGGACTCGCGGTTCTTTTGGCGACGCATTTCAAGCGCCGAACCGCTCTCGGACTCGGTGCACAGGTCCAAGACGGTGTTCGGATTCTTCCAGTTGAGCCACATCGAATTGATTCCGGACGTGGTCGGAGTCGTGCCGGTCGGAACGGTTCCGACACGCTTGTCCGACGTGGTGGGGGTGTCCTCTCCACTGCTAGGACTGGTGCTGCCAGCGTAGGCCGGCGGTGTAGTAGTGTACGGAGATGGGGTTTTGCCGGTCGACGTGGGCACTGTAGTATTGATGCCCCAGTTGGTCATCGTGTCCGCTGCTTGGTTGGAGCTGAGCCGAGCGTTCGGCCACATGAAGGCAAGTTCGGAATTGCGTCTCCGAGCGATAGCAAGATCATGATTGAGCGAGTGGCGAGGGATAGGCCCGCTGCCGGCAGTGCCACAGTTCGGCGCCGGCGATGGTACCGTCGCCGTCAGTCGCCTCTGTAACGTTGCACTTTGGCCAAAGGTTTCACGAGATTCAAGTCGCGGACGAGCCGAGCAGCGGGAATAAAAAGAAGGAGCACCAGCCACAATGTCGACGGAAGTGGGGGGCTAATCTTTCTTTTTGTAAGGAGATACGGAGACTCAGAAACTTAGGCCTGCCAGTTGTGGGTACGCTGTCCTCCACATCTTTGGGGAACGCCGCACAAACATTGAAATTGTGAATACGTGACGAGTTCAAATTGAGCTTCTGGCGAAAAACACATAAACAGTGAGCTTTCAGTTAACTGCAAAAATAGCCGCTTTATGAATCCCATATTCATATCAATTCAGCCAATCTGTAAATTATTTAAATTACAAAATCAGCAGTGTTTAGTCCAGCTCCCTTGCCTCAATAAACCGTGTAAAATTCAAGATCAGCCGGCTCTGCTTGGTATGTTCCTGGCGTTCAAGAACCTCTCGGCACGGCAAAGGTCCGTCCTCCCACGCTGCTCATTTGATGCGGTTGCTCACTCCTTGTCGTCACTTAATTCAGTGCCGGGTACGCCGTGTTGTGCGTGGCGCTGGGTCTCGGTATCAAGTACATGGACGACCACATGCCGCAGCGAGACTTGACCAAGACTCAGGGCGATGGACTGGTGCGTCGCATGTGAGGGCCCAACTGCTTCAGGATGAATCAAGCTGACCCAGATGCTGCTGCAGGCCTGGAGCGACTTGGACAAGCAGCCGGATGCCACCAGGAGGCGCTAGTCGCCGCTGAGACGCCGCTAGGATTCCGGACGATCGCAATGCTTGCGATCTCTGTTACAGACCGGTTCATGGACTTTATCGTGCGACGGCGCAAACATCGCGGTCTATATACCTCTCGAAGTTTGGTCGGTTGTAAGGCAAAACTGGAGTGCTCTGCACCACAGATGATCTGGAAATTATTACAGAACGGCATGTCCCTATTCGCTTCCTTTGTCACGAACTGATTAGTCCCCTGGTCTTCAAAATACACTTTGGCATTCGATGGTAAGCAGCACTCCGAACTAAATGTTAATGGATTCGATCTAATATTCGCGAGAGGAGTCTGCGGACATTATCGTCTTTAGGAGTACATGCAACTACTGTTTCTGTGACGTCCCGCCTCACGGCTGAACATCACTAGTCGAGCATACATATCCCTCATTTAATGAGCTCACGTAGATGCGCTGCATTACACAGCGAGTTTGTGGCAACGGGAAACAAGTAAACAGCTCCGTAATAAACAAAATGTGGATCGAGCCTGCTATTATGGAGGTGTTCATATGGCCCAGTACCTGTGGCGAACTATTCTGCGGCGTTCCCAAACCTTAAGAGTGCCCGCTGTATTTATCGAAAGAGTCGAGCGAGCGCTTGGATCATGCCACGTGCCGATTTCAAGAACAGCGCACCGAACGCTGCATCCACAACACGATAGTATTCATAACGTTAGTTACAGACACTCACCTTTTCATTAATTGAAAACTCCAGTTTTACCTTTCAAACTTGAGTTTCCACCTGGAAATGCTGACAACGCGAACGATCCCAGCGTCATCAACTGCATCACGGAGCTTAACACCACGAACACGTAGTTCCCCAGAATTAAACAGCTATACAACGTGCACCCTGCCAACAGAAACCTAGTCAGTCTGGCAACATTTTATCAATATCTCATCTCTTTCTCTCTCACCAAGTGTCACGAAGTATGCGCTGGTCAGCAGGAGTCGATTCGGCTGCAGCAGGCCTGAAATGTACGCTGCTGGGCCCTTGAGCATCGCAAACGCACCCATGCAGCAAATACTGCCAAGTGTAAAGCTCAGTGCGAACTTGGACGGCCGAACCATGATCTAGAAATTAAGAAATAATTGTCAGTATCAAGTTTTAAAACCTTTTCCAGTTTCCAACGTACCAGAGGCAGGAAGATTGAAGCCATGCCGAAGAACAGCATACCCAGCATGGCCATACCCACAAAGTATTTGAACCTCGTGTTCCTGTACCCAGCAATTGGTACCGAAAAGTTAGAATTTGGTACAGTACTAAAATGCTTCTCGCAATGTCCTTACCAGCTCATAGTGGGGATAAGACCGCCCTGGCTGGTTGAGTTCTTCCTCCATAGCGGCCATTTGACAGCCGTCGCGTCGTCCACTGTGTCATCCATCTGACCGCTCTCCATGACGTCGGATGCGTCCTTGGTTGCCGTGGTATTAGAGGTCGTCACTGCGTTCTTCGTCAGATCTCGCGCCGAGTCCCACATCTTCTGCAGCGAGAAGCTGGGAGCGCTTCCTTCGCTGTCGGTGCTGGCGGTGGATGCCGTTGACAGTGGGGACGAGCGTAAGAAGCTATTAAAGGCGTCCTGTGCGCCCTGTAGCCCGCCACTCGTGGGCTTCTTGCCACCCCATTGTTCCCACGCGCTCATTGTTCAGACCTGCTGGAATTTTGCCGAATGAAGACGATGGGCACTGGCTATGTGGTGGTACAATGTACCGTTTCAGGGGTGGACCATTGGTGTAGTTTACACTAGTTAGCGTTACCGACAAGAATTTCAACGGAAGAACGGCGTTTATTGTGTTTAAAACATAGTTCAAATGTGGTCTACATCACTGCCGATAAAGTACTTTGTTTCGAAAGTAAAGTACTTGTGTTTCTGTGAATTTTGATTTAGTTTCACTAATTTGTTGCCCGGTACTCTTTATTTATTAAGAAGAAAGCGCTTTGTTGTATTGAAAAAGGCAACTTCACGACCATCACACCCAGAAAAAAAAAAGGATAACACTCCACAAGAAAGACAAGCATTGTTCCTTATCTTGGCCAGATCACTCTTAAATACAGTGCTCTACTGGTGGCAATCACAGCACGTGCGGTGCTTGGGTCCATGTCGAGCTAGAAAACGAGTTGTTTCGTGGCCAGTTGTCGGAACTTTCGAGCGATGTAGCCTGCATTCTGCAGGATTTTAGGTTAGAATACGCCGTTCTAAGACAGCAAGCGCACGCGGCCCATGGAGACGCGACGCGCGCTGGTGCCTCCTGTTGAACTAGTCGAGGAGTTGCGCATGGCAGTCGAGATGGCGTCCGAGCGTGGCAACGAGTTCGAGGCGATGTACGACTCGGCCAACGTCGTCTCCTCGTCGCAACTAAAGGCAAAGCCAGTGTTGCGACGGCCTGTGGTCGCGCGAAGCATCTTGGGCGGTACTCGTTCCCACGTCGCGTCCTCTGAGATCGATTCGCTGAATACACTGGCCGAGTAACTGTCGGTAATATTCGAGTTCGTCGACTGGAGCGTAGATGTACCAACATTTGACCCGCTCTTCTTGGGTTGCTGTTCATACAGTGTCGCTGCGAAGCTCTGTGGGTGTTGAGCCTTGAGAATCTCAGCGTCCGAGTGGCCAAAGTCGCTCAAATAACCGGTAGTGTGAACATCATCCAACGACATGGACAGTGTCTGTTCTTCCATGTGGTTAATAGTCAGACGTCGCTGGTATTTGCGTTGCGAACCTCCACCCATGGACTCCTGTAGAAGTTGAGCCAGATCCGGATGGAATGTCCGCTGGTACAGATTGTACGCGATGTGCCGTCCAAGAGCCAGTGAACATCCCATGATGAGGACCAGGAAATACCCCCACGTTTTGGCAGTGGGGGCAAACGCACCGAACTCGTCGTATCCAATCTTAAATGTGGCAAAGTAGGGCGTTTCCGTTCCAATAGCAGCGAAGGCGAACCACGACATGACACTACCGAACCAGAGCGAGAACGACAGCACCGTCCATCGGTCTGCGATCATCCAGATCTTGATGTTCACGATGAGAACAGTTAGTGAAAACGCGACCATACCGAACTCCACACGGGACTCACTGCCTGCCCCTTTCTCCGATGCATTGAAGCCATATGACATGACCACGAAGATGATCAAAGATTCATAGAAGGCTGCTGCGATCCAGCGGCAGAACGTGTACATGTTGAAGAAGAAGCGCTCCGGTCCCCGACGGTATAAGTCTGGATATTCGATACTGAATGGAGCTGGTAGGTCCTTGTCCAGAACACCCACGACCACGATAGGGAGACCTGTGAATGCGATGTTGTACAGCTGGACGCCGATCTCCCAGTACATTTTCGAGCCAGAAGCGCCGGACAGATAGCCGTACCAGTATTGCGCCAGTACTAGCGTGATGTTCTTGTAGAACATGTAGAGTACCAGTTTCGAGATACGAATGTAGTTCCAACGTCCGTGAACCAATAGTAATCGCTCCAGGAAGCGGAACTGGGCGATAGCGTAGTCACTAGAGTTGACAGCCTGCATTCCTTCCTGTCCTGAGATACCCACACCCACGTGAGCAGCTTGAATCATGGCTACATCGTTAGCTCCATCGCCAATCGCTAGTGTCCGTACTGTTGTGATGTTATCTCTGACCAGCTTGACCATCTCTGCCTTCTGAGCAGGAGACACTCGGTTACAGATCACGGCGCGACACAGCTTCGCAAAGGACAACAAGTGTGGCGCCGTTCCTGGTCGCAGAGCCATTTCCAGTGCTTCGCCGTCGATAATCAACGAGATCTCCTTCTCACTGCCACCTGCCATCCCCTTGGCACTGTCTAAAAACTCTCTGGCTGCAGCATTCAGTTTTGCACGGATCGCTGCCTCGTCTGGACATGTAGTGGCGTTCACTATGACCTGTTGGATCGAGTTGTCAAGCAGAGAACAGGCGTACGAGATGTTGATAGCCGTTTCTTCCTTGTCGCCTGTAAGCATCCACACTTTAATACCCGCCCGCGTCAAGTTAGCCAGACACTGCGGTACTCCGTCCTGAAGTTTGTCTTCGATAGCTGTGGCCCCAATAAGCTCCAGACCTTCTTCAATCTCCTCCATCAGGTCGTCGATAGCGTTCGGTTTACCGTCTTTTCGTCGATCAATCTCAGCCACGTTACCCTGTACATCGTCGAACCGCATCTTCCACTGCTGGAACCAACGCTCGTCCAGCTTCTTGACTGCAAGCGCCAGTGTTCGTAATCCATCGTCTGCGTATTTTTCCATGTGATCTCGTGTGATGTTTTTGAGTTTGAGCATCGCCGGGTCGTCTTTTAAACGCTGATAGATCATCATATCGGCTCCTTTCGTGTACAGAAGTAACTCTCCGCTGGGTTTACGCACCACGACGGACATACGCTTACGCGTACTGTTGAATTCGAGCACGTCCAGCACTTCGTAGGTCACACGTTGTCCCAGAACCTCCACCATCGCTGTACCAACACTACGACTCTCAAACTTGAACCCTGCAAAGGCTGCACCTGCCACAAGAGCCTGTTCATCAGGAGACGACGCGGATAGTCGAACTTCGCCGGATTCGAGCTTCTCTGGGATCACAGTGTGGCACACTGCGAGATGTTCGAAAAACTGCATGATCTTCTCCTTCTGCTCTTCTCCTGCACTACCTTTCATACTGTCAAATAGAGATTTATCCACGAAATTCACGAACGGAATCTTCTTGATACTCGGGTCCAGTTTAGGCTCTGGCGGGATCGGTTTACCAGCTCGAACCAGTGCGGCACGACCGATTTCCGTGATACCGGAGCCGTACGAAATACCGTTTATGGAACACTTACGGAACTCCATGATGTTGCACGTAAGTGTACCAGTTTTGTCACTGAAAACGTACGAGATCTGGCCCAGTTCTTCGTTCAGCTCCATCGTCCGGACGATGGCAGGTGTGTCCGTTTCAGCATGGTACATTTCGAGGTCCCACGACATGAAGCGCGACTGTAAGAATTTGACACTTGTCATGGACACATAGAGCGAGATGGGGATCACCTGATACAACAGCAAGAAATAGTAGAACAACATCTGGATAAACGCCACGAGACGCGTGCGGTTCCTCTCGGTTTCCGTCAGTTGAATGTACCACGCGTTGCGTACAATGTCGTACTGCCACGTAATGTAGCAGGTTGCAGCCATGGCGCAGGCGACAAACAGCCCCAGACACAGAATGACGATCATCCGGTTGATATTCAGCATCAAGTCGCTCCATTTGGACGGAGCGGCACTGGCACTCTGCATGATCTTGGTATCGTTACCGGTATTCAACACTAGTCCAAAAACCCAGTCGGTATTGCGCAGATTGCAACCTCGTAACAGCACGTTCTTAACTGATAACGGCATCACCTCCACGCCGCAACCGTCGCCCACTGTGACCTCCACTTTGCCTGCGAACTTATTGATGTGCGGATTGGGCTGTTCGCACTTAACGACGCCGCGCAGCAGCGCCAGCTCGGCGGCGTTCGCGAGCGAGCTCATGGTCGCGGCCACCGCCTGGCGCAGCTTGAGGTTCGTCTCGCCGTCCAGACTCTTGGTCTCGACGTAGCAGATGCCGCTGGGCGGCTCGCCCACGGGCTCTGACACGGCGAGCACCAGCACGTCGGCCGGGATGACTTCCCGGTTGCGGATCTGTAGGAAATCTCCGACTTTAATGTCCGCCCACTTCCTGTCCACGACCTGACCGTCCTGGATTACGTGGCATATGGCCGAGTTGGCCTCATTATCCGATTTGTGGCGTCGTAAATCCTCCATGACGGCGAACACGGCGTCGATCGAGATGACGAAGAACAAGACCGGCGCGTTGGTCGGGTAGCCGTACGTGTTACTGATACTAGGGATACTCTGCAGCACGCAGACCATGAGGAAGAAGAAATTGGCCACCTTAGTGAAGCTTTCCTTGAGAAATTTAGGGAAAAAAGTGGCCAAGTTGTACTTGGACGTCACCACGACGTTCGAGCATTTGTCGAACACAGCGTTGCCAGGTGCATAGTTGAAATAGACCTCTCGCAGTGTCTCCTCTGGGCCTGGGGCTGCTGTCGCTGCTCCTGGTGCGCCACTACCTGAAGATGCGGGCGTGCTCTGGGACGCGTAGTCCACGAGTTCGTCCTCGTCCAGAAGCTGCTCTTTCGTCTGTTGGCTCGTGCGTCGTGTCTGTCTGGGAGACTGGAGCAGTGCTGGACTGCCCAGAGTGTTGTAACCGCTGGTACTGGAGCCTAAAACGTTGTCGCTTTGGTCCGACAGCGCGGGATCGTCGCGTGCGGGCGCGACGCTGGAGCACAGCGCCACCTGGTCCTCCACCCGCGAGCCGCGGAAGATGCGCGACGTGCTGCGCTTGGCAGCCATGAGCGCGTCCTGTTCCAAAGGCTTATAAAGCTATTCTATGCTGCTGTGCTGGGTGCTGGAGGAGTCCCAAGGCGAGCGCCGCCACAAGTCACGGCGGGTCTATTTGTGACGACGGAATGCAAATGGGACCAGACTGCGGGGGAGAGCGGCGCAAAATAGACTCGCTCTGGACTGGCTACACTGTCTTGACCGTTGAACGAATGGACATAAACGGCACATTTTGCGCTGAACGTGTGCTGCGATTGGCGGACGACGCCTTGTTGAGACCTACACTTTTCGGTTCCATGACACTCATGCAGTGTGGAAAGGGTATTAGATATACAAGTTACTGTAGACAAAGATTTTGGTTTGTGATTGATATGTTTCTCGGGTTTATGGATTTTCACAGGTTGTGTGGTGGACACCAATCGTTGAAGACAGGCCAGATGGCAACTCGCACGCCACGAAAAGCAGGCGATGAGCCACCCCGCATTCGGTGAGAGAGAAGCTGCTGGTTGTGCGGCACGAATTGTGCCGCACAGCCAGCGGCTCCACAATTTGTAAGTCGATTCATCGATTGTTACTTTGTGGCGCGCCATCATACAGTACATATCCATACACAGTGGATATGGCGGACTCGATATGCGGGCGAGTGCTAATCGCCCGATCGATTCGACAATGCGAGCATGTCACGTTGTTGACGCTGCTGTTGATCCCGTTGAAGACGAGAAAATCGACGGGTTTGAAGCCTTTGAAGTGTGTCGCGGGCCCACGCAGGATACTGCAGAATATGTATTGCACTTGACCTCCGGAAGCCCCGGCCCCGTATTGTATCGTTGCTCTGGGCTGATTTTTAGAAGCGCGGGAATTTCACCTGTGGTCGGCATGATCACTTCACTTGACTTCTCAATAATTGGACATGGCGCAACTAAGACGTGCATTGATTTCTACCCGTGCAATAGTCTAGATTGCCATATATATCGACACATACGGCTGAGGCGTTGTCTCTACCTCTGTTTGCTTCCGTGGCCACAATACAGCATTATCATACGAATTGCTAGGATATAACCTACAGC